GAGTAATGCCTCGTAGCAGTCGCTGGTTAGTGGTGTGTGGGGTCGATCGTGGATGAATTGTGAAGACTTTGGTGTAGTGATGGGCGTTCTTTTCTCTTTATCTAGATGCTGATTTGCCCATGGGATTGTAAGAGCTATGAGTAGTGTGATTGAAGAACACTTTATTTTATCGTATTGCAACTTCGCCGACTAACAATTTTCAGGCACGGCGCCTAGGGGAAGCAGAAGGCAGATCTACCCAGTACATAAAATGCGCCTCCCTAAACTGTTCAACTCTATTTTATCACCCGCTTTTCTTGCCTTATTATTCTTACAAATACTTCACCATCCGTTTTATCGTTTGCAATGCTGCAACTCATTCGTATGGATGGACGTGTTTTGCGAAATCTCTTTTAATTTAAGTAGTGTTGAGTGTGATTAAAAATGTAAACGAAATGAATCGATACCTTGATAAGCTGATTGTTCGATCAAACGGATTCAGGCGATTAACGGGCAGCGATCAGTTAAGTCTGGTTACCTATTTGAGTAATCGTGACTTGTGAGACAGATGAGGGTCAGGATAACCAACTGTGTGGTCCGAGTGATCAGCATTTTTATGGACTTCCATCACTTTGCTTTGACAAATTGCATTTTAGCATCTTTTGGAAAAAAGTCCATACCTGTGTTTACGAGGAGTTTTTGTGGGCCTTTTAGCTATGGAACATAGTAAGCGTTGACTAATCGAAGCTTTATATTTTGCCTGACCTCAGTATTGAACACAATGCTAAATAACAACGAAAAAGCTAAAACCAGGGTCTTTCTCTGGTAGATACATTGGAACCGAAAGATAAATATGGCTAACGACAGAATCGCAAACACAACACGAACATGACCTTGGATTTTGTCATTCCCTGGATGTGTGATCGCAAACCAAAATGTGCGAAGGTAGCACACATAGGAGGTAGCTCCTTGTGCTTCAATCCTTCAATGTGACAGTTAAATCATTAATTCAGTTTTTCGTCAAACTTGAACATCTGCGCTGAGACACTGAGATACACTAACCTCTCTCCTATCAGAATAATACAAACGCTGCACTATAACATGATATGTGGTGACATGTAAATACTACTGCTCATATGATGCTGACAGAGCATCGCTCATTTTCTGGGCATAAAAAGTGACCTCTTTACAATTCTAAAAAGCAAAATCAAGGGCATTCTAAGCCTTTATTTGCACAATCACTGCCGATCTTGCAGTAGTCAGCGGTCCCGGCTCCTTCCGGTCACCTAAAGGCGCTCTGTTGCTTACCTACATTGTTACTGTAATACATTGACTGACCATCAGCATCAGTGACGAATACTTAGGAAGTCAAATGACCTTTGTTGAGTAGACCTACCAGAAATTGATGCCAAAAGCCCAATGCTTATCCATTTCGCCCGAATGTATGTATTTTAGTACATTTACGATACTAAATTAAAGTTTGTTTAAAGGGACCTGACCAGGGATCGACGTCTCTCCTGATTCCCACAGAATGCGACTACCTCTTGTTGTGCACACACAATGGAACGGAAAATCCTGGATCTCCTCACAGGAGGAGGGCTTTAACCAATGTGTCCGACGGGCAGAATAGTAGCAACGAATGTGACGTAAGTCGTTAAGCATCTGAGAAAGCTTCGTCTTACAGTTCCTTCAATTATACCTCCTGACAGACATCTACAATGGCAATGCACTAATGCTCTCAAAATGCTTCTGCATTAACTTCGGTATTCCCCATTACACTTTTGTTGTTAACAGAGTTCCACCGTCTATTCACGGACACAAATGATAGACAAAAGATTTCTCGGTCCCCGTAAATCGTTTGTAGTTCTGACCAAACTCGACGCCTATTTGGAGCTGGTGTGTGGAATCGGCTAATTGCGAATAAGTTCCTCTCCTCAATTATGTTGGGATTGATGAATGGTGTGGCAAACATGTGTTGAGTTCTTACATAGCCAATTAACCTATGACGAAAGGATTTATCAACGGTTGGATGTCGTATTTCGTATGAGTGGCTGTTAGTAGGCGTGACTTTCACTTAAATGATCATGTTACTTATTCGAATATTCTGTTTTCTAATGTATGTCAAAAAGTCTAATCCACAACGCCTTTGCAAAAATGTACGCACACATATCAAAATATATGCCTTCTTATAATGCATATTTTGTATTTGAACATCCCTTACAGGTAGAAGGCATAAACTCAATTCGAACACTGAGCACGAGGAGTCTGCCGACGATACGCCATCTCCGGCTTTTCATACCCCTTGTTGGTCAATGTAAACCCTTAGGTAATGCCAAAAAACCTACGCCATGAAAAGTCTGTTATACTTTGTTTTTGTTACCACATGCTATCCGGTGACAGCTTGGAGATTTTTATCTGGCTCTTGTACACGTGGGCTGGCATTCGAGCCAATCTATGAATGAATCTCTATGTTCTCTCGAGAATACGTGTATTCAGCCTTCGCCTACCCGGTGGGAAGTCTCGGGACGCTACACTCTTTACAAATGAAGTAGCACCGGGAGCCACAGCTTCTGTTTAATTTAAATTAAACCAATGAGCACATTTTATAGCTAGAAGTCTATGCTAAAAATATAACATCCTAACGAGAAAAACATCGAAAGTCAATAAAATTCAACAAAGAAGTCATCCTTAATTATTAATTCCCCCTGTAACTGGTTGGCATAAAAAGGACTACCATTCAAACACGGGAAAAGAGATACGTGTATGTTGTTTAAACGAATTGATGTCGTGACTAGCCGACTCCCCTATTACTCGAATTCTATTCGAAGTTATTGCTATTGCGTATGACATTCCAGTCCGTGTGAGGTTCAGAGGAGCAAAGGTTCTGGATTGATTCAGCTTAGTTCTGATCTTTTATAACAATGAAAGATAGTTTTCATGAAGCACTCATGTTTGTGAGTATTTTGACCCATGGGAAGGGGACTACACCGTAGGAGGTTAGGGGGCCTGTTATCGTTTAAGCTCACGTGGGACGTTTAGGAGATGCTAAAGACCTTAAAGGCTGCAGTTTGTGTATTCTTAGTGCAAATGGGTCTTGTTTGTTTCCGTTTGTAATAACGTCTTAACACTCCTTTACCCCCATTGGCATGCTAAACCAAGCATTGTCTTGAAGAGAGGTTGCGCCGCGGAAACAACCTCTCTAAGATTCTTTCGACTGCAGAAATAACATTATTTTCTTTATGAATACTCAAGTCGGACGTGACAGCAAGTCTTGCACTTTCTAAGGTCTACCCGTGGGCGTCAAAAATACCGAATGCTAGCGCAGCTTTGTGGACCCCCCCCCCACCACGCCTAAAAAACAAGCATAGCACTCCGGCTTACCACACGTATTCAATATGAGGGTATGAGGTTTGTGGTTTCTGCCGGGGTCCAGATTTCAGCCCGTTCGACCAATGTAATGTGGCTACCTGGATAACCGCAACCGATACTGACCGCCAGACAAAGTAATACAATTTAAGACTCGGAAGTTTTGAGACTCTTCTCCCCTCCCTCCACTTGAGGCAATGATCATGACCTATTACTATCAGCAAACAAAAACCTCCCAGCTCGAAAAGCTCTCCTCTCAAAGAATATATTCACAAGAAGTACACAAGATTGGACGGAACATCACCATCTGAATTTAGCTCAGAGCTTCGACTCAAGACCGATGGGATGCAGCATCTTCAAGTAGGGAGAAGTGGCGATATTAGGGAGGTCTTCAATCGCCCGAAATCCTCTTTCTTTACTTCTCTTGTTCTCGCCGAGCCGCAGCCTCACTGTAGGTTTTCGGCATTGGCTTCTAAAAAGCATTATTATTGCTGAAGAAATATTAAGCACAAAAAGTTGAAGGGGGTAATACTGCAATTCCCTACCCTTTTACTTCAGCTAGACTGCCCAAGTGATTACTTCGCTGCTTCGACTTCTTCTGGATACTGCGAGCAGGAAAATCTGATGGGTAGGTTGGGGCACTAAACAAAAGTTAAGAGATAAGAGTATGTGTAACAATTTTACATTTCTTAAGGCAAGTACTTTTGTAACGACTCAATTTAATCCACTATCATAAAGGTGGCTTAAATATTGACTACAAAGTTGTTAAAGTTGGCAACGCATTAATCAAGGTGAGTAAATAAACTTAGCACTTACGGGGCCTCGCGAAAAACTGAAGACCCCGGGTGTTTTCGTTTCCTACTTCTAGCCAAAGCACCACCGTTTCTGTAAACAAACAGAACTCTCAATGGATATTCTCTCATCGCAAGCACCCTATGAAGCTGGATCCAATCCCTACCTAGAATCCTTCGATGTCTGTCTATTTGATATCCTAAAAGCCTGGCCGCCACTTCGATGTCGCCGACTGTTTGCGTCGAAGAGTGATTGCTTTCTACAAAACCCCATAAATATGTTTCAATACGAAATGGATCGATAAACAGAAAATCTACGAATGAAAGAAAGTGCGATCATACCTTGGAATCTTTGCGCTGCCATCCCCATGGTTAGTCTTATTACGTGATCGCAACAACTTATTACTGAAGAGGGATAGAGGCAAAAGTGGAATGACTTGCTAAGACATATATAAGGTCGCATTTCAATTCATGCGTATCAAAAACTTACGCCGCTAATTTGCCTCCGCCTTGAACTTTCTTTGATCCATCGTGTTCTAACGGTGAAATCCGCTGAAATGATGGCTGTGGCAATTGTGATGAGATTCCATTTTCGAAGGAGCAGTAGAGCGGTTCGTCAAAAACCCGAGTTTTTGAAGTGGACTCGGCTGTTGATGTTGATTCCAACACCAAAAAATTGGAAACAAAATAGGAATGAAGCAGAGAGATGGGGCAAGACCACTAGACAATTTCCTATCAACGCTCACCAAACGTCCATGATTGACGGGTGCACGATGAACAAGATCTTTGATTATCCTTAGCCGCTTCTGCATAGACATCGCAATCATCAAACTTGAAAATCGACGTCTGTATCGTAGACCGCCCATCAACTGTTGGTTTCCAACACATCTATTAGGGTGAAAAGTTGGCCCAAATCAGATAATGCCATGGTTTTTTTACGCATCATCTCCCTTCCCGATGCAGCAGCCATCACCAAAACGGCTGCTCCATGCTCCAGGTTTCGAGTTCCTAATCCACAAATAGGGATGCCTCGTGCAGGTTCTCCCAGGAGTCTACCATTACAAAGGCCTTCGTAAGTGACTTAAGTGAATCCCATTGGAAATATGTAATTATTAGTGTAACAGAAACCAACCTAACTGAAATCGCTATCGACAAAAGTTGCGAATCATCCATATAAAACCTGGAAGAAAATACCTCACATATTAATGGAACTTAACAATCACCAGTAATGAACTTTAAAAAAATTACCTCCCCTGTATGCCCTCGACCACCACAATTGAAACAGCTTTTCGCCCGACGAATAGGAGGAGGAAATGCGACGACGGGTTTACCAGGTCGAGTCTATGAGAAAAAAACAAAGAACCTGCGCAGAATTTCTTCTCCAAGAAGATTGAACATCTTAAGGGAACTTACAGTGTACCTGTACTGTCTCCATATATCCGGACAAGTCTAAAAAGGTGAGAATGTTGCGAGCAAATTATACTGGCAAAAAATGAATGGATAAATTGGGACATGAATCGCACCACAGGTCGGAACTCCCAAGACTCAATCGTAGGGATTGACGCAACTCAATGATTAAAGTTTTCAAAGCAAGTAATACAGCACTACCAGGAAGGTGCACCGAGCAGGATATCGACTATATATAATAACTCATTTTACTCCTGGCATTTAGCTAAAGATTTCTTGTTAATGGTAAACTAAGGAAACGACGCGGCGTTAGTACGTCCTACTTTCGAAATCAAGCATTTGAAAGTATGGGGCATTGTCGCCTCAGAGAAGACAATCATAAAAGGTCCGTAGCTTAACCATCACTACTATCGGACCTCTGGCTATTCAGAAGCCCAACTTTGGGATAGCAACGAATGAATAACAGCTGGACTCACGTTGATCTCATGACCCCTCCGCTTACAACGGGAGCAAACGGTATTTAAAATATCAATTTTACTACGACAACGCGATGAATCGTGGCCGAATTCGTTGCAAACAGAACAGCATCTGTTTGGACAGTCGCGAACCGTATGACCCTCTCGAGCGCAAAGGTAACACAATGGTCCGCTCTGAGTAAAAAAATGAAACAAGTTGACAAATAAATGAGTACATTGATGCACGAAAGCTTTCATTTTATTCGACTTGCCCGAATACATTCTAGAAAAGTGTGTCCTTTTTTATAACATCTTTCGCAAGTCATATCAGCTTCTCGACATCGCCTTTTCTTCTTCGATGATGAAGACAAATCAGGGGAATCCAGTGACCAGTATTTGCCATCAGATGGAAGATCCTTCAATTGCTCTAGGAGCCCTGTATTCTCTTTAAGATTGTCGACGAGTGGTTCTGAAAGCCCCAGGAGTAGATCTAGCTTTGGTCTTTTCGAAAGCGTGTTGTCAGCGAGGGACGAGTCAGAGGAGGTATCTGTGACATAGGCATAAACAGGATGCTCACCGACACCATTCTGCTCCACATAACGATCCATTCGTTCTTCAGCCTTTTGAATGACACTATGTGGTGTTCGTCCGGTAAAAGTTAGATACAGAGCTGCCATGAGAGTAGAGTCGATAGGTGGGCTTGTAGAGGTGGATTCTCGCGAAGTGGAAATGAAGGGTTCCTCCCCGTGTTTGTCAGTACTGACCGATAAGAGATCGGGAAGATTAAATGACTTTTTGGAGTTCGCGGCTGGGGACTTCGAGGCGATGATGGGATCATTGTCATAGAAAACAGAAGCGTAAAGTCTAGCCTCCGTCTCTTCATCGACGTGGTCGCTGTCGTATTCCGACTCTTCCTCCTCCATCAATAAACCAAAAACTCTTATTGGGGACGATCTAAATACAAAAGAGTCGAACGATAACCCCCGAGGAGGTGACAGATGATTGCACCACCACTTGACCCCAACAGCCAATGAGGGGCAAAAAATGGTATCAGAAGTTTTAAAACACGAACAATAGCACACTGGAAAGCCACCAAAAGACTAATTACAAAGTTTTCCTGTTTGTTACAAGTTTTGCTCCTTCGTGACACCTTGAAAAGATAGACCAAAACATTTGAAACATTATGAAACGGGACAAGAGAATGCAATGAAGAAAAACCCAACTTCTATACCTTTATTAAAGAAATTAAAAACAATGGAATATCTTCGCTGAAAATTTTCGCTTTCTAGATAATTCCGCGTTATTTATGTGCGAATTTGTACTTTGCATTAAAGAGAGAATAGACAGCTTCAGCTCATCGCACTAGCAAAAATTAGCACTAGTAGGCTTTTAAATTTGTATGTGTCTTAGCTTTGTCCCAGGTCGTTCCCCGCGTTGGGGCAATGCTTTCGATGTTTGTTATGCGGACTTACCCCTAACCCGCTCAATGCAAATCCGATCCCATACTCTTAGCCCTTATGCCGTGGGAAACATGGTAGAGTGCAGCATAGTTACTTGTCTGAGCTACCATTTCTATGCATCAAACTATTTTTTGCTTCATCTTGAATCGCGCTGCTGCGTTATATTGACTACTCCTTTTCAGACATCTGATGCCGCCTTACGTTTCATCGATACCACTTTTAGGCCTCGATTGTCTCCCCTGATATAAAAGCACCAAATATGTCCCCGTGTACATCATCGACGGAGGATTATTCTACTTGGGATATAGTTAAGGCTACTCAATATGGTATATTATCTCGTGTCCACGAATTAATTGAACCGCCACCGGGCTCGGCCGTCCTACCTTTCGACGTGAACCAATTGGACCATGAGAGTGTCTCCCTCTTGCATTGGGCTGCCATCAACAATAATTTTGCCATTGTCAAATACCTCGTCTCTAAAGGAGCTGTTGTGGATCGAATTGGGGGCAATCAGCAAGCAACAGCCCTCCATTGGGCCATTCGAAAGCATCTCCTCGAGATGGTTGGCTTGCTTATGCATTTCGGAGCGGACCCAATGGTTAGGGACATTCAGGGCATGACGTGTCTTCATGTGGCAGCTCAAGAAGGCGCTACTGCTATTGTGCTTTACCTCCTTGCCAAAGGTGTAGATGTCGATTGGTAGGTTGTGCTCGTCGCCTTCTCCTTTTCCTTACTTTGATAAATCTGGTTACCCATCGGTCCAGTGGATTTCCGTGATTTGTTTAGGTGCCAGTTTGTTGATCGGCTTGGAAATGACACCTACCTCGGATTGATTTGTGTTGGTGAATTGCCTGGTGTGGACTAGGTTTATGTCCTCGACTGAATGGTACGCGAACGCCATTCAGTCGTGAGCCCATTATTGCACGACAGCTTGCTTTAATGGGCCATTTTAATCGTTTAAAATAGGCGATCTTGTTTAATGACTCCAAGCAGGTTGGGAATTGGGTTTTGTTCTTGATTTCGTCAAGCCCCTTGTAATTTTGTGACCTAATGAAGTTCGTCGGTACTTCGCTTTTCCAGGTTCAATGTTTCGTTCAGCTCAATGTTTGTTTGCTCGGGTTTTGGCTGCGGTCTTTAAATCCTTCGTTTTCCCCTTCATAATAAGATTAGCTTTTAATCACGACAGTTTACTGACGTAGTTCCTATTAACTAGTTTTTGCCATCCTAGTGGCGATTCTGTTCCAGTGGCCAATGTTGAGCCAATGGAACTCTTCTCTCGAACCTTACGGATAGGCTCCTCTGGTCATGTCCATTTTCTGACTTTGTGTTAGAACAATTTCTGGACGATTCGTTAAGCTTCCCTTTCCTGCTCAGACCAGATTTTGCGCTTCTGTTTCAGGCATCTCATTCATTTGGGTTGAACTTTTTTCCAAGAATGGAATCGACTGTCAAGCTGCTCTGATAGCGTTTTTTTTGTCGACCATCTGTCATTTGTGAGGCTTCCTTTTTCTTCTCGCCGGAAATCCTCCTTTTTCACGGTATGCTTCCTCGGTTTGAATGTTTTTCTGATAACGGCATTTTGGTTTCGAAGTTTCTCCATTTTCTGTGGATGTGGTTCACCCTCTGTCCTTTCTTTCCTTGATAAGAGAATTCCCTTGTTTTTATCAGAGCCTCAGCGTCTTTTAGCAACTCCTTTTGCGTTAACTTAATATTTAATACCCACTTCGATTGGGGCTATCAAGTATCAATAATATTCAGTTTTGCTTATCTTTTTGTTCAGAACTGTGTGTGCTTCTAAAATTGTCGCATTTTTGTCACTTGGGCGCTTTCTGAGCCCTTATTGGGTCTAAACTGGAAAAGGAGAAGCTTGTATTTTCGGCGAAGAAGTGACCATCTTGGTGAGTGATAACTGTCAAATGTTGTAACCATAATGTAGCTAATTAAGTTGGGGAAGTCTTTTGGTAACGCTATTTAATTTCACAAACTTAACTACTTTTTGTTCGTTTACACACCCTACATCACAATTTAAGGGTATTTTCCAGCGAGATACAAGTCTGCTATAAACCACATCTCTTCATGACATTAGCGTTGGAAGCGCAAGGTCCGATTTCGCACAGCTTTACCTCTGCCTAAGCCATGATTGCCAAGTAGCTGTTCTACCCCTTAGTTTTTTGTGCAGTTTGAATAAAAATGAGTCGACTGTCTCTCGGAAAACCAAGTCGGGTGAATACAGAGGCTGAGGATGAGGATAAGGTAGCACCTCCCTTCTATCCCACCCGCAATACTAAACTAAATTGCACGACTAAACGATGGAATAGATTGTTTCAAGTAGGTACATCTCTTTCAGATAGTGGGAGTTGCGAACATAACGTATCGGAGGGCACTGCAAAGGGCTGATGCTGCGCCTGGACATGTTTCCGCTTTGTATTCCATTCATAGCCCCTATAAACTATTGTGTTAACAACCGCGAGCCAAATACGATAAGGCCATGATATTTTTGACATTTTTTTACTGCAACCACCTTCCTTGTTAAAGTATCGATCTGGATGTGATGTTAAAGGCTTAGTATTTAGAGGCAAAACCGAATGCATTCAGATTTAATGAATAGATCGCTTTTAATGTAGCCACCCAACGGAAGAAGGAAGGTTGATATGTCTGCGGAATTAGGAATGTTTTGTTCTCGTTAAGCCCTACCATTCCTGAGCGAAGATGGTAAGAAGAGTGTGCGATGGATCTGATCACACTTCTTTCTTGCATAGAATATAGAAGAGCGTGTGTACCCCTTGTTTCTTAATTTTTTGGCCTAGTGACTTACTGGTCGGTGTTACCTGACGTGGTTGTGCAAAATTATTCTTTTGTTGTTTTTAAATTGTCACAAAAAGTCGAATGTATAATCTCTGAATCTTCTCAAAACTAGTGAGGAGCTGGCCTCGGTAGCTACAATCAAAAGTGAGCATCAGTTTTCTTTATATAGGCTTTTTTTGAACTATTAAATTATAAAACTGTGTTTTGTCGGATTTATTTTGTAAGAGCGTGTAAAATTTTCGATTATCAACACTAGATGTGTTGTAACTTGTCTTTACGCCTTTCGAATGTTCTAGTACAAAAGAAACTATCGCACTTTCAAGTCGAAGTTGATAGCTACGTTCTGATGTATAAGTCTGATACCTTTCGCATCAGAAGGGGACCTAGCCAAAGTAATGATTAAAAGAAACCTGCGTAGCCATGGCTGCGGTTGGAGAACAGTTCTCCAAGGAGCAAGTGCCAACTGCGAGGGCTGAAGAATGCCTTTATTTCGGTTTGAAGTAGGTATCTGCAGTTTGGTCATGGCGAGCATACAAGGAGTAATCTTCAGTTTAAACGCTAAAATTGTACACTGACGATTCTTCACCCACAAATTTATATAGTCTTGATCTCCTGCTTCGTAAGTGCCTCTAAAGCATGGTACTTTGCGTTTGTGAATTCTTGGAGTGTTCAAATGTTCGTTTTTTTGTCGACGCGCGATAATGGCTACAGTGCGCAAGGGGTTGAAAGGGAATGAGTACGGTTGGTGCGGTTGGTTGGCTGGCTCGCATAAGTCAGTCTGCATGGTCAGGCATGCTTGGTAACTTATATGGAAAATCCCTATGGTGGTTATCAACGTTTCTTTTCTTCAAATCGATATAGTTCTCAGGTAAATTAGCAACTCCGTCTAGAACGTTTTCATTAAGAGAATCACCTCTTCACACCTGCTCAGAATCGTTTTAGCCTTTTGCTTTCTGTGGAACTGTTCTGAACTTAGGTGTCCGGCATTGGATTTTAGCAATTCTTGCAAGTTTTCTAAATCTCTTCCGTACGATGAGTGAAGCCCATCTGCCGTAATTTTAATGGAAATGTAATTGGGTTTTTTATCCGATGCACAAATTGATGAAAATCCAGTAATTTCTCCGATATCATCACAATCTGCCCACAGAGTTCGTCGAATGCGTAAATTCTTAAGCTAATCTATCTATATCCATGGCTCTTAGCATCTCAGTAATAAAGTAGTAAACTCTCCAAGTGATACTTAGAGTTGAATATTCAATAACTTGCTGGTCAATGATTGTTGGTCAGGTATGCGACTTTATCTGTCCGTTGCAGTCGAAGTAGCAAAGGCCTCACCCCACTGATGACTAGCTGCCTCTTCGGTCGTTCGACGGAACCTCTACAGGTTCTCCTTGGCTGGGGGGCAGACATGCGACTGGTAGACGAGGTACATGGCAACACTGCGGCTCACCTTGCTGTGCGCAGCAACAACCTCTCCGCCGTGCTGCAGCTCGATGAGGCTGGGGTGGATTGGCGGATGACCAATAATCTGGGCCTTTACCCCTATCAGGTTAGCATCTCTACACCTTGATACGCCTTTGATGTAAATGAGTTGGTCCTTGCAAGTTCACGAAACCTATGCTCTCAAGTCGTTCACACATTTTGAATTGAGGGTCTTTTCATGAGATTAGCTGACGTTTTGCAGGTTTTATCCTTGGCCGCTAAACAACTCTATTGTAAGAGTTTCCTTTGCCCTTTTCAACTACGTTGAATCAGGATGTCTATTATTTGGTTGTGACTTAAAGCCCAGGTAAAATGTGACGCATCTTGCAGGATTGATTCGGTTCTCTGACTTTATTCTTGTGTCCAAATTTACTCTTGCTCGCCTATACCTCAATATTTGACTATGAATTTTTTGTCACCCACACATGGAATTTTTACCCTACAAATCAGTGTTCAGCTTCCTCTCTTCCCCTTTCGAGGCAAGGCTTGTGATTGTGAAAAGGTCCCTTTTTTCTCTGTTGCTGGTAAGACCGTTCTTGACCATCCAAAACTCAAGCACACTTCTAGCCTGTGTTTGTGAATTCAGGCGTTGGCACGTGCTTGTCAGTGGTGGCTTAGACAGAGATAGAGGATCTTGTCAGCCTCTGCTCCTCTAGGCACTAGAATTGGTTAGCTGTTGGGCTTGGAAGTAGTGTTCTGCAACCCCTATCTTTGATCAAACAGCCTGAAAATCCTCCACCTTTTGCTCGAATCGTGATTTGGCGATTGTTTTGGGATTGATTTTACCATTTCACACCTTAACCGTTGGGAAGGATTTACACTCATCCTCCTACTTTTAAAACTTTCACTGATGTGTGTAAGAGGTGGGCAACTAAACAATAGGGTTGGCTGTATTGCTATGCTTCTTACAGTCATGTTTTTTTAAGCGCGAGTCGGTTTGTCATATATCTCTTCACCTCCTCTGACTTCCAAGTTCATTTGTGCTTTTCAAAGCCATTGAAAACGGGATCTGGCTCTCCGTGATAGTTGCTTGATTGTCCTGCCTCCCTCTGCGATGAATTTTGTTGATTATTTAAGTCAGCTACCTTTTGCCTGGTCTCCATGCTCTCTCAGCAGCTATTTTTAGTGTGCTTTGTGATGCCGCTTGCGATGCGATGTGTGTAATTGCCCTTCCTTGTCTGTCTTGTTCGCAATTTAACGTTTGGGTTTGTGGTTAAGTTAGCAAACGTGTGGCACTTCTAGTCGACTCATTTTTAATTTCGCAAGTTTTGGAGTTCTCGACGTTACTAACTTTCACTATTTGCTAGTCATAACTTGGTATTTAAGACCTCAAATGGATATGCGGGAGGACTTTTAGAGGTCAGTGCAGAGGTGTATGCAGAAATGTGGGTAGCTTATCCTAGATGTTTGACATTTCTCACTGTTGAATACGGTAAGTTTGCTCTGTGTAATGCAATTTCGCAACTCTATCTTGGGTGTACAGTACATATCTTGCAGTATTAATTGAGCATTTGGCACTTTGTTGTTAGGCCATCACCAAAGCCGCATCTATTCTTTCGGCGCTTCCGGCATATATGTATTATCCCATTCTAACGTGGGACATGCCTAGTGCTCTCAAAAGCAGTTCTTCTGAGAATGGACGAAAAATGAAAGCTATGAAGTCTTATGGAATGTAAGGAAGAATTAACTACCTTTCAAATTTTACACTTCCAATCAAACAAGATTTTATTTTGAATCATCTGTCGTTCTTTCGCATCGTTACTTTGTTGGCCAACGTTTATTTGGTCGGTAATTGTCAACCGATGCTGTTCTGGATATGTTGCCAGTGATAGTAGCAGTGAGGTGGAATTGTGCTTACCTTCGAATTTTACTTCTTTTTTTTTCACATATTTACGCTTTCGTGAAAATAAAAATTGTGATTTCGCTTCATTAGGCCTATCATGTAATCATACTCGTTGCTACAAGTCGAATTCGTTTCCGCAACCACATTTGCTTTCATCGGACAAATGATAGGACTTTCAGCTTTGCTACTAGGGCCTGCTTTGAAATCTGCCATTTCCTATTTAACAGTCAGATCCTGTCTCATTAACATCATTCTATTCTTTTCTTTATGCATGCACGGCTCTATAAAGAAGGCAGTAAACATAAACTGGTCCCTTTATTGGCCTTTCACTTATAGCGCTGTTAGGGAAGCTCAATCTAGCTTTTTCCTGTACATTTCATATTCAGTTATCTAAACTTGTGTTTTATACATCGATTCATCCAAATCACTGTGGTGATGCAAACGGGTGAGTTGCAAATGTATGGTTTTTGCTGCCGTAGATGTCGACTCATTCCTGGATGAACCATCGAGTGAAGCAGATGGCTATCGCTCGAGGTCTGTTGCCTCCCTCCGAAGCGGATTCGGATGAGGACATCAAGGATGACATCAAGGACAATGGTGCCGCAGACACTTTGAAGGCGGCAGACGACAAATGTCATCGCAGTCATCGGCGTATTCGCCGTCGCCGTTTTCAAATCCATTGGCCTGCCGGTTGCTACTCCAAACGTGGACTGACCTGCACCGCATTCGCGCTCCCTATAATCGGTTTCCTTCTTATCGGTATCCTCCTTCAACTCGACTTCGCCGCTCTACTTTCCCCTCTCGTGCCATTATGGACGGCGTATGTGCTGAAGGCTGTGACTGTACCCCTCGTGTTTTGGCAGTTTCGGTCCAATATCATGAAACTGCAAACTAACGAATATGGGGTGAGTTTGTGAGCCTCTTTTGGCTTTGGGCAACATGTCCTTATCTACTTACGTTCATGCAGTTTTTAGGTCACCAAACGGCATGGATTTTATTCCATCATGAAAACTGGAGCACTGCGATCAACGCTTAAGTCCTCAAGTTTAGGTGCATAACAAATTTGCGCCGTTTTGTTATGTTGCATTATTTTCGGTGAGGTGCACTTCAGCTAGTACTACCTACTTCTTAAGAATAAAGTTGGATCTTTTTTTAAGTAAATTAAGTGGAATTTCACTTCGTCAGCCCACTATAAAAACACTTACGACCGTGATAGTATCAAAGGTCGCTAGTACTTAGAAGAAGTTGTTAACAATAGACAGAATCACAGAACTTATTTCCTACAATTTTTTTTTATCAAATTTGCATATATGAACCACTTACCTCGGGCTAGAAGTAAGACGGCTTGG